GACCAAAGAGAGTGAAAAGTAAAGTACAGAAAGAAAAATAAATCCATCGTGCCAGAAATTTTACAGCAGCAACAATATCCTTCAAAAATGAAGGCAAAATAAAGAGATTCTCAATTTCATGAAAATGGAATTCATCTAAGGAGACAGCACCACAGAAGAAACTAAAGGAAGACCCTGAGGAGGGAGTGAACGTGGAAACTCCACTGGACAGGAAAAACAGTGGAAACCAGAAATACATAGATAACTATAACAAACTATATATTATCTTCTCTCACTTTTTAAAAAGACAAGACCATTTGAAGCAAAAAGTTGCAGCACCACATTATGCAGTTTATCAGGTAAGATGTAATATATATGACAGCAGCAGTACAATATATGGAGAATAAGTGTTCTACATTGTCACGAGGATCATTTATCTTTTTAGGAAACATCAACTCCAGACAGACTGTGATATGCCAAGAATGCATTATGTAATCATCCCTAAGCGATGACTAAAAAGTGCTTATATATATTTAAAAGGGGTGTAGCTCAAAAGTCAATAGAAAAATTAAAATAAAATACTAAAAAATCCCCTACCTTGGGGAGGTGAATCTCTCTCTCTTTCTCTACTTCCTCTCTCTTCTGTCTCTTTAATTTACTTTCTAAATAAACTATATTTTCCAATCTAAAAAAAAAATGCTAAAAAATATTCAAATAGCTCCAAAGAAAGCAGGGTAAGAGAATCAGAGGAAAAACAACAACAACAGATGTAACACACAGAAATACAGTTGTCCTCAATATCCACAGGGGCCTGGCTCCAGGACCACTCACAGCAGCCAAGATCCACAGAGTCTCAAGACCCACAGTCAGCCCTGTGAGTCCAGCAGATAGAAAAGTTGCCCTCCATGTCTGAGGGGTCTGCAGTCCCCGAATACTGTTTTCGACCTGCAGTTGGTTGAAGACACAGATGCAGAGACCGTGGATACATAGGACTAACTGTCATAGCAGAATGATTACTTTAAAGGCGTGTGGACTAGCCAACCAAACTGTTTGGGTGAACAAAAAAACAAGACCCAAATATGTGCTGTCTACAAGAGACACACTTTATACAGATGGTCTCCGACTGACAAGGGCTTGACGTTCGACTTTTCTGTTACGGTGGTGCAACAGCAACACGCCTTCAGTAGAACTGTACTGCACATACCCACACAGCCACTGTTTTTCATTTTTATTACAGTATTCTGTAAATTACACGAGATGTTCAAAACCTTATGATAAAATAGGCTTTGTGTTAGACAGTTTTGCACAGCTCTAGGCCAAGGTCAGGGATCTGGGCGTGTGAAAGGCAGGCTACGAAAACGAGACAGCAGTACTCTAGGTGTATGAAATGCAATTTCAGCTGACATGACTTCCAACGTGCCGGGTTTATTGCAATGTAGTCCCACAGTCTGTAGAGGAACATCTATAAAGACCCAATGGACACTAGCACAAGGACAAAAAAAGTTACGTCACACAGTCAAGATAAGAGAGTCGGCTGTGTGCTCAAAGGCAACCTTGGAAGGAATGTCAATGGAGAATGAAAAAAAATCATTTCACAGTGGAAAAGGGTCAAATTATTAGAAAACCTAACGATCACAAATACACACGAGTCTCAAAACGGAACTTCAAAATATATGAAGCAAAAACTGAAGTAAAAGGAATTAGCATAGTCACAGTTGACGATTTCAACACATAGGTCATATCACCATACTGCAATTAGTAAGTATGCAGGAGAAAAAAATAAGACTATGGAAGATCTGAACACCACTCAACCAACATTCTTAGCCTAATTCACATTTATTGAAAGCTGTACCCAACAACTGCAAACCCAGATTACAGTCAAGAGCTCACGGAATGCTGTGCTATAAGCAAATCATAATACATTTTCAAAGACTGAAATCTTAGAGGATGTTCTCTAACCACAAAGTCATTAAATTAAAAAACAATAACAAGATAGCTAGAAAAGTCCCAAATATTTAGAAATTAAATAGCATAATTCTACATAATTCACAGAACTAAGAAATCACAAGAGTCATTAGAATATATTTCGGACAAAATGACAAAAATACAACATCAAAATGTGCAAGGTACACAGAAGATGATGCCAAGAAAGAAGTTCATACCTTCAAAGTTTATAATAGAAAATAAATATTTAAAATTAATGTAAGCTTAGACTCTACTTTTAAAAGCTTTAAAAAAAAAAAAGCAAATTAAATCCAAAGAAAGAAGGAAGTAATAAACACCAGAAGTCAATGAAATAATGATAGAAAAAACTAATAAAGCCAAAGTTGACTCTTTGAAAATCTTAACAGAACTGACAAGCTCCTAGTAAGACTGACCATGGAAAAAAGAGAAAAAAAACCAGTAACAGAAAAGAATAAGGGGCTATCATTGCAGATTCTACAGACATTAAAGGATAACAATGAAAATTACAAATGTATGACAAAAATGTGATAACTAAGATAAAATGGGTAAATAAACAAATTTCTTGAAAAACATGACCCTCTCAAACTGACAAAACATAAAAGCAGAACATTTGATAAGGGCAATTATCTATTAGAGAAGGTAAATTCTGTATCAAAATTCTTCCTACAGAAAGAAGATTTTTAAATGCCACGCCTACATAAACTCAAAAAGCAGAGAAGGGGACGACTGCACAGCTTGTTTTATGGAGTCGGCATCATTCTGATGCCAGGGCTTGCCTGGCCTTGAGACGCTTCTGTTTATTCACTCCTCCAACCAATATGTCCTAATACGCAACCTGTTCCAGGTGGTTTGCACCCTGTATCTGGCTTCTCTAGCAAAGGGAAAGGCTTTCTATGACTCTATCCCACCAAACCTTCCTCCTTCTGCTGTGAAGGAAACCACCCACTGCTGACACAGACTTTATTACTAAGTCCCTTCATAGTGGAAATCACCCACTATGACCAGCTTTCAGTTTCTCAGATACTATATTCTCAGCCAGTCCTCCCTCACCTGAAAGAACTCCAGCGTTCTTCCTATAAACACACAAGAGCTACCACTGAACTTGTTAACACCGGGAGACACTCCCCGTTCCCCTTTCCAATCCTTGAAGGTTTTCCTACCACATGGAGCTCTGACACCAGACAAACTGGATTTTATCTCAGCTCTGCCTAAGTAATGTGCTTACATGTGTGCTCTTGGACAAATTACTTAATTCCTCCAAGTTTCTACTCCCTTCTGTACAATGGGGACAATTGTGGCACCTGGAATGTCACCAGCCTCCTGCAGCATTTAGCCCAAGATCTGCCACAGAAGTGCCCAACAGCTGTCCTCATCATTACCCCTGGGTTTTTACTTTCATTTCCCCTTTTAACAAAACCTCCTAGCTCTTCTCCTTATATTTAAATTAAATTTGCAAAAAATATTTTGGTTATTTATTATTCTGGAGTCCTTCCCTTTGTGACTGTAGCACAGACAACTCCTAGTGCAGCAGCAGAATGGGGGAAGGGGGATGGGGAAGAGGGAAGGGAGAGGGAAGGGGAGAGGGAAAGGCTCCTTGGAGTTCAACAGCATCACACTTCATAAAACAGCTTTATCCAAATAAAAGTAAAACAAATTAACTTTGTAGCAAGAAATGAATGAACTTATAAAACTTTTCACCAGAGAAGTCATTTTTAAGACACGAAAAGAAGGGTGAACTGTAAGTGATGCATTAAAAAAAAAAATTTTTTTTTGAGTTGGAGTCTCACTCTGTCACCCAGACTGGAGTGCAGTGGCACACTCCCGGCCACCGCAGCCTCAACCTGCTGGGCTCCGGTGATCCTTCCGCCTCAGCCTTCCAAGTAGCTGGAATTACAGGCGCATGATACCACGCCCAGCTAATTTTTTGATTTATTGTAGAGATGAGGTCTCGCCAAGTTGCCCAGGCGGGTCTCGAACCCGAGGGCTCAGGCAATCCACTCACCTCAGCCTCCCAAAGCGCGGGATTACAGGCTGAGCCACCGAGCCCGGCTACATTAAAATTTTTTACAGGGAACATGAAAGAAGCATCAACTCCACCAAGGTTCCCAGACAACCCCTGGCTGAGGATCTGCAGCATCAACAGGACATTCGCCTCTCCATACAGAGAACAGGGAGTCTGCCCGCAGCTTGGGGAAACGCAGCCTCAGCTTAAAAACAAAAACACCCAGGCTGTGATCCTCATCCCCTCTCCACCAGGACACAGCAGTGAGCCCAGCAGCAGGCATTCCAGCAGTTGCTCAGAAGCAGCGGCCATGGAACACTCGGGAGCACGACCCGGATGCTCCAGGCACCGCCAGCGTGCACGTCTCGCTCAGTCTTGGGACAAGGCCCTGCTGATGTGTGGTGCAGGAGGGACCGAGGCGCTCCCATTCCCAGGAGGTGGAGGGTGGCCCGGGCTCCTACGGGCCTCATTGCTCAGGGCCACAGGGGACACGCTCTGAGCAGCGTGCACAGCCTACCCGGAACAGCCGCAACCCTCCTGCATGGTATGCACTGTGCCCGCAGGTGCCAGTAACCTGGCCTGACACAGGAAATCACTTTGGTCCTAAATTCTGTTACTACTGGTAAGAACTGACTCAGTCACATCAATGTCACAAGTTTAAAAAATAAAGTGTGTTATACGAACCTTAATTTTTGTCAACGTTTTGAGAAAACAGAAATACAAAATAAAATTAATGGTGTAAAAATTCTGTCTTTACCATTCAGACGTGGGCATTTTACTAAAGTTTACCTCAATGATGGAAAAGAAAAAAGAAAATTCATGAAGAATATGAAAGAAGCTCAATTTTTGATATGGTTCTTAATGAGGTATTTTACAATGATATGAATGACTTTATTTCTGTCTAGCTTTTCTGCTTTCTCCTTCACAGCCCTTATGTAACATGAAAGACTTAGGTTTCTTCTTCAACCCAAATCTGACTCTTCACAAAATAACATCAACAGGTCAGGCCATTCCGGCACAGGCGGACAGCCTCCTTCTCTGGGGCATAACTTACCACAGGTAGCGTGAGCCAAGTAGCCACGAGGCGGTTGCTGATCCAGCGATACCAAGATGGGTTTACAAACATCAAAGGTAAAAAGGGGCCCAGCATGAAAACACTTCCAAAAAAGCTTCCCCAGAACAGAGTGAGGATAAAGTAAATCCCTCTCCATGACACCATGATTCTGAAAGATACAAAAAAGGGGATACATTTGGTTACTATATACTTAATTGCTCAAATTTCACAAAGGTACATATAACAATTGCTAATTCTAGGGCTACAGAAAGGCTCTGATAAATGGTACAAGGCCTGAATTTCACAGATGTGGCTTGCTATAAAGGTCTACCAAGCTGCCAGTACGTTCGAAACTGATACTCTCGGCAGAGTAAATGTCTGCCCTCCAAAAACATTTGTCTAGTTTAGGAAGCCTTTGTTACTACTATTTGATGCAAAGCCATATATTTTCTTTTCTAGAATGTTACCAACTGCAAACTCATAGAATATCCCAGAGGTTTTTCCTACCCAGAAATAGACATAAGAGACTCAGAACTGCAACTCAGCTTCCTTCGAATGAGTGCAGTAGTCACCTCCATATTCATGGGGCATCTGTTCCAAGACCCCCAGCAGATGCCTGAAACCGCAGACAGTACCAAACCCCACCTATGTTAAGTTTTCTTCCTGTGCATAACCGCGATAAAGTTTAACTTATAAATTTGGCAGAGAAAGAGCTTAGTAACACTACCTAACATTTACTAGTAGTAAAGTATTATGAAGGCAAGGCTCCTTGAACACTAGCTCTGTCACCGTCCACCTGGCCACTGAGACAGCTACAGAGTGACTAACAGGCAGGCAGGACAAAAGGATGATTCCCGACCCAGGTAGGACAGAGCAGGACACATTTCATCACGACACTCAGAGTGGAACGCAATTTAAAACCTATGCACTGTTGATATCTGCAACTTCCAAGTATCTCAGACTGTGGTTGACCAGAGTAACAACACTGCAGAAAGCAAAACTGGCCATTTAACAGAGTGCACTGAAATGTTCTTTTAAATCTAGAAAAATTAATTTTTTTACACTAGAATCTAAAAACGCCATCTTGGACACTTGGCCTTGAGCTGGCTCTCCAAGCTGACTTCCTCAGCTATCTGCCGAAGGATTATTTCAGAGGTCCTCACTACCCGAACCCAACGCTGATGTCTTAAAAGAAATGGTTGGAAACACAGTCTGAGATGAATAATCACACATTTGATTTTACAACCCACACTATAATACAGCAAAAATATGTTTGTCTCAGGATGATAAAATTGTTAGAAACATTAAAACTATGAAACAATAATGGTCTAAAGATGTATACATTTTTAAAAGGTATTCCAGAGATCAAGACCTCTAACTATTTAAAAAGAATCACAACAGGAAAAAGAAATTAAATTCCAAATGTCACAGTGCTTTTTTAAAATGTCAGACAAACAACAAAACAAGTCAAAGCCCTCACCAACCCAGAATAATCAAGTTTATCTGGACACTGAATATGTTTTTAAAGCTCTACCAATACAAAACCCTTCCAAGTACTTACAGAAGAAGTATCTACCAAGAATGGCTTTCTGTTGAACTCTGACCCGGAACTGACAGAGTTCCTGGGAGTCTGTCAGAACAAATACACTGGACAAGTCTGTAACTTTTCCAAGACTACTAAAAGCAACATACTGCTCTTCATTCAAATGACGAAATCAAGTACATCCAATTGAAGTGTGGACACTATTGTCAATTACTGCACCTACCTTGTGTGTACATATCACCTACATTGTGTGTACATATCACAACAGTCATATTGCAAAACAATCTGTAAGTGAATGAACACAAAAATGTTTTCAAAGGTCGCACAACCACCAGGGCCTGAGTACCGAGACTACTCCGCCATCTGAAGGAATTTAACTGTGTTCGTTACTTAAGGAGCTGAGGGCAATACTCTTTACACACCACTCTGCTTGTGAGAATCCAACACACGGATTTAGTAAGTGAGATGTTCGCACACGTAAGTGAAATGTTTGCGAGCTGATGGATCCCTCTTAAGCCCATAGATGCGTGCCAGTCTACATGGCCCTTTCTGACACACACACGCCTGTCTCTCCTCTGTCAGAGTTTACAGCAGCCTTTCTGGGCACCCTGCAGGAGTTCACACATGCTTTTCAGAGCTCAGTCACATACACACATGAGTCCTCCAGCAACAGAATGCTTCTTGATCCCCCCGGTCAGAACTGTGCTGGATTGCCTTTAGTGTTTCAAAGGACAGAAGGCTCACAGCTAAATGCAGCATCCCATTCCAGAAACAAAGATTGTGGTGGTTGTTATCGCCTTCTCCTCTTATAATCTTCCACTTGTGTTCTCAATAGCATTATCCCATGTCTTTTATTATAAATCACCCGGCATTCTTTTGGGAAGCAGACTATCAATTAAAAATAAATGAGATCTCACCATAACCTTAGTCATCTTTACTTATTTTATTTTTTTAAAATTAAGCCTCTGTTAAAGCATGGTTTTAAGAAATCACTAGAAATTCTTATTTAAGAGTTTATTATGTTAAAAATATTCTGAAGACAAAAAAAAATGCTCCTTCAATAAGTAAATCACCAGAGGAAACAAATAATAAAAATAAGCCAAAAAGAGCTAGAAACACCTTTCTGTATTCATTAAGCATTCATAAGGCAAGCAGAGGAGGCCGGAGACACTAGGTTTACTCTGGCACTTGGAAAAAAGACACAGACAGTAACAGGAAAGGAGCAAATGCCAATTTCCTTCTTACCGAAACAGCAACCAGGGAAAACTTTCCCAGATAAAGGGGGAGGCACAGGTAGCAGGCATTTTAGTCAGAGAGAACTTGGAAGAACTGAAAGCCCAGTTCACCAGTTCTGACAAAACACAGCCAGACAGTTACCGAGCAGAACGGGGTCCACCTTCAGCGACTTCACCCAAGTGAAGCAGGAAAGGCCTTCCAACAACCAGAGGACTCCATAACAGAGGCTGCTCATTACAGGGGCCCACTCAGAGCTCTCCGAACTGGGTAAGGGGGCGAGGATTATGTAAAGTGTCATTATGCATCTCTTATTACTCACCTCTGAGGCTTACTGAGAGGAAAAATCGTGTAAATGTTCATAGTTCTCTGAACTCCGATACAACTCTCCTACTTAAAATCCAAAAGTGCATACCCAGCTTTTGCACTGCTTGACTTTACCTGAAGTTCAAAAGCAGATAAGCTGCTCTATAACATGAGGGTGTGGATGACAGCTATCCTAGGGGACTGTCCTGGGGAGGTCGGAATCAGGTCCAGGAACTGAAAAGGGATACCAGAGAGCACCTAGGAGCTGAGGAATACTGTTTCCTGACTTGGGTACTGATGGCACATGGTATATCACTTGAAGAAAATTCATTGAGCTGTACATTTGTGACTTATGTACCTGTCCAGACTGGCTACTTTTCAACAATTTTACCAAGAAAGTCATATGCGCGCACACACATATGCCAGGGTGCCAAAAAACATATACACATTTTAAGAGATGTTATCTATGTGCTACTTTTCAAAGTTGAATTGAATTACGGTAGCAATGTATGGTATGATGTTTGCTCAAAAGATAGTGTTAACCAAATGAATGCTAGCGTCATCATGTGACAGGCGGGACAGGCAAAGGAAATGGCAGAAGCACAGGTGTCATCCGAGGAGTGCAAGACCATTCTGAAGTGGCATTTGAAATTCAAGAACATTGTGGAAGCACAAGAGTGGAGGCGTGAGTATGCAACAGAACCCCAATACACCCAACAAGTACACGCATGCATGATGAGTGTGAGACGCAGGGTCCTGTGTGTGAGGTGCACAAGGGAAGATCCGGGAGGGCTCACTCAGCAACAAGTCCCACAGTAGTTCGCCGTCATCAGAGGTATTTGTCTGGACACTGATGGGAATTGCTCTGAGTTCTTGTAACTGAAGAAGCCAAGCGTGACTTCTGTTCATCTAATTGAGTGTTACAATTTTAATACAGTTTTTTCCTTTCTTAAAAATGTGTATACATTTTTGACACCCTCTGTATGTATGTGTGTATATAAATATGTATTTTATATATTATATATATATAAAAAATTTAAACCAGATGTTTTATAAATAATCCAATTAGATATACTGTTTACAGGAAGGAAATACAAATGGACAATAAACATACAAGACATATTCAACTTTCAGGAAAATGCAAATTAAAACAATACAACTCCATTTTCCCCAGCAGAGTGCCCAAAAATGTCTGAGCCTTGCCTTTAATGTTCTAAAAATGACTTTTGGAGCCCTCGCCTTCACAGCGGGAGGGAGTGTCAAGCAACACAGCCACTTTAGAGGACCTGCAGATACGTAGCTATGACGGTTCTGAATATGCTGGCCATTAGGGATTCCCACCCCACTGCATGTACAAAGACGGTTCGCTGTAGCGCCATCCGTAACAGAAACAGGTAACAGACTAGTCCCCCCTGCCAGGGAAGGCCAGCAGGCCTCGGGACATCCAACACGGGAAACACCATGTGGCGCTGGAAGCCCGAGGTCAACCCAAACCTTCCAAACCCAGCTGCTCTCCGAGACATACTGCTAACACAGAGTGTGAGGTCATTCTTGGAAAGGGAGAAGCATACCCCTCCAACCCTAATGCTATATGGTTTACAGAGCTAGACAAAAGCAAGCACACAGAGATCCATCTAGAAGGACGCCTGCCAATGATACATCCGGCTGCCTCCATGGAGTGGGAGAGGTTGTGACTGGGGACACCAGTCAAAGGGAATTGAACCTTTCTGCCATGTCTTTAGAGGAGAACATTTCCATCTGTTACATTTGTTACTTACAGAGTGAGAAGGGAAGATGGAAGGGGGACAGGGAAGGGGAAGGAAAAGCCACAGCTGAAGCACTGCCAATAATGAGTCGCGCCAGTAATGCCGATGCTTCCATGATCCCAGCAAAGCAACGATGATTAAATGGTCAGGCAGAAATGACCCACATCTCTCAGCCAAATGACTGTCTGCCATACTTTAAATTCAAAGTAAATTTTTACAGATAAATTTTAAAAACCCCTGTAGGCCGAGCATGGTAGCTCACGCCTGTAATCTCAGCACTTTGGAAGGCCGAGGCAGGAGGATCACTTGAGGTCCAGA